TCTCGCCTCTCACTGGCCACTAAGATGGGAGAGGACAGTTGACTCTGGCAGGATTTGAAGGCGCTTGGCATGCACTCATCTTTTAGGTCACCAGAAATAACTTGGAAACGCATGTGTGTGTGTGTTAAGCGGAAAGGATGAGAAAAATTCCTTTTATTTATGGGGCTACTGGCAAGTGAGTTATTTTTTAGGAGTAAGGACCACTTAGGGAGGGGGAACTCCCAGGTGTGCTCCCCCATGGGTGTAATCATTCCCCAATTTCCTAACCTTCTTTCAATATTAACAAGCCCCTCCATCCCTACCACAGAGGTCTAAAGCAAACCGTCATCTAGTCATTTTTAATTTGGGGAAATTACTGCAGTTATGTTATGCAGTGGGATGTTCCCTGACTTCTTTTGTTTATTTCCTCCTTAAAATTCCTGTCTTCCAGGAAGTAGTGGTATGGTGCCAACTCTTTTATTGATTGTGAGAGAAGAGAGTGCTCCTTTTACTTTTGCAGTTCTTTGTGTAAGCATCCGTGGAACAAGCTCTGTTCTTAGAGACAGGTCAGTCCCATTTTTCCACCACAGGGAGTGAAGGGACAGGCATGATCAGGAGGACTGGCACCAGCTAGTCAGTGTCAGTGCCAGCATTGCCTAGGGTTTCTTGCTTGCCAATGCCACTGTTTTAAGCTATCTTTCTCACTGCCTCAGCCATTAGCTATAGGTTGGGATTTGTTTCTTAACTTCTCAGAACCTCATTTATAAGTCATTTTCTTTCAAAGAAGATTCTGAAAATTGAGAGGCTGCCACTGCTCTACATTGAGAACCTTCCACATTTTTCTACCTTACCCAGGCAGCCCAGCCCCATTCCAAGGCAGTTAGTTGCTCATGACTCCAAGGTCACAAACTCATAGGCCTTGTGTCAGTTAAGTATTGCTGAATAAACCAGCCCAAGCTCAGTGGCTTAAAACAACCACAATCTATTATTTCTTATGAATCTGGGGGTTGACTGGGGTACCTTTTCTGATGGTCTTTCCTGGACTAACTCATGTGGCTGCTTTCACTTGGTTGGTGGCCCAGGCACTGGGCTAGGCTGGGACAGCTGGGTTTTCTCTCTTGGAGGCCCGACTGAATTTTTTTACACGGGGGCTGGGTTCCAAGAGAATGAGATGGGAAGTAACAAGGCCTTGTGATCTAGGCTTGAAAGTCACATGATGCTACCTCTACCACACTCTGTTGGCCAAAACTAGGCTGAAGGCCAGCCTATATTCAAGGACTCCACCTCCTAATGGGAGAGGCTGCAAAGATTCTTTGGCCATATTTAATTTGTCACAGGCCTACAGGCAGGAGACATGAAAGAGTAAAGCAGGCCAGTTGCGGGAAGATAGGGACCAAAGAGCATCATCCATCTATTACCAAGAAACATATTAGTTCAGTGTGACCTTATCTTATAATTTTTTAAGAGAAGCTGGAAATCTAGATTTTTTCCCAGAAATATATAAATAGGTTTGATTATTTTGAGCAGTTTTAGGTTTACAGAAAAATTGCTCAAAATTAGAGTTTCCATATACCTCTACACAGTCCCTAAGTTTCCCCTATTATTAATGTCTTTCATTAGTGTGGAATCAATACATTTGTTAAAACCAATGAACCAATAGCGATACATTATTTATTAACTTAAGTTCATAGCTTACAACATGAGAATTTGCTCTTTGGGTTCTTTTATGAGCTTTGACAAATGCATACTATTTTGTATCTACTATCTACAATCTTTTTAGTGACTCTATAGTTTTTCCTTTTCCAGAAAGACATAAAGTTGGCATTACACCTTATTGTAAAGAGTGCCTTCTTTCACTTAGTATTGTAATAAGCATTTAAAGTTCATCCATGTCTTTTCATGACTTGATAGCTCATTTCTTTAATTACTAAATAATCTGTTGTCTGGATACACTACAGTTTGTTTATCTATTCACCTATTAAAGGACATCCTGATTGCTTTCAAGTTTTGGCAATTACTAATAAAGCTGCTATAAACATTTGTGGGCAGGTTTTTGTGTGGACATAAGTTTTCTACTCATTTGGGTAAACACCTAAGAGTGTGATTGCTAGATTGTATCACGTGGTAAGTCTATGTTTAGTTTTGTAAGATACTGCCAAATTATCTTTCCAAGTGGCTGTCTCATTATGCATTCCCACCAGCAGTGCACGAGAGTTCTGGTTTCTCCACATACTAACCAGCATTTGATGTCAGTATTTTGGATTTTAGCTGTTCTAATAGGTGTAGTGATATCTCATTAATTTGGAATTTCCTAACGATATAAGATAATAGGTATCTTTTCATATATTCATTTGCATCTGTATATCTTCTTTGGTGAGCTGTTTATCTAGATCTTTTGCCCAGTTTTTAATTAGGTTGTTTATTTACTTATTGTTGAATTTTAAGAGTGCTTTGTATATTTTACAGATTTATTTTTTTCCCCCTAACATGGCTAGAATGATGGCATCTCTAATTTTGATGCCTGACTTAGCATTATGGTCACATAAACAAGAAGGCACTGATCTCCTTGGAGAATTAGCAAAGATTTACCAACAAGACAGCAAAGTGCGGTCTTCGGAATACCAAAGGGTGGTATGTCACAAATGTGCTTCGTTCATTATGATTGTAACATGGTCACAGTGATCATTCCAGTCATTATGAAAATAATGAAAAACAAATGGATAAAATAAAAAGAAGAACAGTTTTCTGGTGACTAGTTCCCCACCTTATGCCTAATTAGTGCTCTAGCTAATGGGAATCCCTCAACCCCTAATTTTGTCTTATTTGTTTTCATCTGCACAATTAGGTGTTCCCATTCAAGGGTCTCTGTGGCACAGTGTGTCGACGGACTTAATGGAATTAATTTACTCAGGGAACAACTGTGACCTCTGCTTGCCTGAACTACTCAGCTTCTGTCTGTGGCCCATGCAGGCAAATTCCAAGCATAAAAAAAAGGGAGGCACAACTGGAGGACATCTTACTGTCCTGGGCATCAGACATGGTGGGTGAACCTCCTGCAGAGCCCAAAGACCTTTGCCTGGCCCTCATTCCGGGGCGCGGCAAGCTCTGGGGGCGGTGCTGGTACCCACAGTCTTTCCACCTCAGGAACAGTCTTGGTTCAGCTCAAGACTCACAGGTACCAATCAGATCTTCACTCAGTTTGGAAGGACTACGGTCCTGTTGGAAACACATCGCATTCCTACCTCTAATCCTCCTCTCCAAAGGAACACAGGTAGAACATTTGCTGGCATCACCCTCCCTTCCCTGGGAAGGTTCCCCCAAATCTGCAGTGGACAGGGAATATTCCCCTGGATGGCATGAAGCAAATGGAGTCACCTTCAGTGTTTCATGCAAAATAAAGCACTAGACAACTGAAAACTAAAAAGCCCAAGACCCCTCCTCCAGGACCTGTTTAAAAGACATACCCCCCTTTCTACTCAGCTGCTGGAACAGCCTCTTTGAACACACTATATGCAGCAGTGACTCAGGGGACTCCCTGCCCACAACTACTGAAAACAAAGGTTAAAGATCTAGTTGATACTGTGGCTAGAACCAGAGGATGTTAAGCAACCTGGGCTAGATATTCAACCTTGCTTATGCTGAGTAACAAATAACTTCAGCAACTGGTAGGTACAGAGATTAAACAAAATGGAGGAGGGAAAAAAAAAAAAAGAGAGAATCTCCTCAATGTCTAGGAGTACCTGAGAAAGCCATACAGCATACGGGCAAGTCCAACCATGGGGAACCAGAGAAACTCACTGCCCATAACCTGAACAAGTTAAATTATTTTGAACTCCTAGGGCACTGCTCCATTTCTTGGTGAACAAACACACTACCAAATAACAGGTAAGTCATTTAACTTCCTGAAAATCGAGACAGGATTTAAAGCCAACAACTAAAATGTGACCTGACTTTCTCCATGTATGGTTTCATTTTTTACACGGTTATTCTGTTTTCAGTATTATTACCTCTTAAGTCTACTTTAGAGTCATTTTTACTCCCAAACCTTAATGTCCTTAGTGTCTTTTAAGACAAAAATTGGTGGGCCCATTTTGCACATCTGTCAATATCTTAAAGAGATAGAATGCCAAGGTGTGTTGGTTCAAGCAACCACAACACAGAGAGGGGAAGGAAAAGGTTCTGACATCCCAGTGCCTCACTAAGGGAAACAACTGCCCTTTAAACAATCTGTGGCTGAACCACAAACTATTTTCACTAGAGAAAGACAAAGTCAACTCTGCTTTTCTTGAGCCTCTTACAACTGTAGCCGGGGAGTCCGGCTCTTCTGGTCATGGCCTCACATTCTTTCTGCAAAGGCTCTAGCGGACACAATTTATGGGGTGGTCTGAGGAAGCAAGCTAAGCGATGTGGGATGAAACCACAAGGGAGGACTTTCTGGCCCCCATGGAGTAAATCTAATTTCCGTGGAGGTTTGGATAGGCAGCCCCACAACTGCCTGTCTTGGCTATGGGCGCTCAATACCCAAGAATGAAGCAACAAAGACTCTCCTCTTTTATTGTCTCTGGTCTGTGATCACAGTCACGCTAAGGATTGAGGATCTAAAGATTCAAAGGGCTACTGGGGACTCTCTTCTCTGGAACTCAACATAGTCAGGGAGAAGGGAAACCGAGACAACATAAATGAAAGACAGACTTGGCCAGGGATCTGCTGAACTACTACAGTGTCTGAATGTTTAGAAAACTAAAAAAAATTGCTCTTCATGCTCAGCAGCCAGCACAGGCAACAGCCATCATCAAAGCCATCTCAGCAGGATGGTATAAGTCATAGATCACCAAGGCAAGAAGCACTATGTTATGCATAATGATTCATCCACAACAAACGAGCCAAGCTCCAAGTTTAGGGAGAAGGTTTGAATCATGTTCATAGGAAAATGCTCAAAGTCAGATGGGCCCTGAGAGCAAATTTTGGGCAGAATGGCTGATCAAGGGCCTGCTGTAACAGCAAGCAAATGTCATACTTACAGTGAGTTGGGCCGGGTGGGTTTGAGCACATCCAGGTCTGGGTCACTGGAGTTCATGTTGGGCTGTAAGCTGCTGCTAGAATTAAGGATGCTGTTTGCATTTGATGAGATGACAGATTCCAAACTGGAGTTAATGATGCTGTTTCTCTGTTCCTCTGCAGGGGGGAAAAAAAGGCCATACGCCCCACATTAATGTTATTTCACAGGGAGAGTCTGTTCCCACATACACAAAAATTTACAAATAATGAAATTGGATTGCGATCTCTCAGCCCAACCAAGCTAAAATTAAGACATATGAAAGGATAAGAATTACAAGTGGGAAAGAAAGTCAAAGGGGAATAGGTGACTTGAAATTTTAGGGCAAAACCCCTTCCTCAGCTTGATAGGACATACCTCCCCTTCCTCCCCTTTGATACAACCAGTCTTTTCCCTAAGAGTGGCACGATCACTGCACCATAAATTGTGTCTTCTGACTGGCAAATGACCAGAACACAGAGCAGCCTTCATAGCCCCCTCGCATTCAACCAGATCCTCTTGGTTTCTGTGACGTTCACCTTTTATTCAAACACTCCTGCCCTCAAAATTGTCTGAATTGCCCAGGCCACATCCTACCTCCCATTATGTAGCATGTCACCATAAAAAAGATCTATTTGGCCATCCACTTCTTCATGACCCTGTAGTTTAAATTCCTGACGCCTCCAAAGACCTACCTTCTGGACTGCTTTAGCTCTATGTAATTGCTGTTTAGTTTCAGGCTGGTTCCTTGATAAATAGATGTATAAGGGCTACAGAGTAGTTTGCATATAAAAACTGAGTCCAACGTCAAAGCAGTCATATTAATGTTTGGAGAATACTACCAGGCCAAGAGGGAGAAACCCGAGTTGTCTTCAAGGCTCCACCCCAACTGGTAGGGTGGCCTCAGGCAATTTTCATTCACCCTCTGTTTCCTGGCTAAGGCATCTATACAACGGGGAGAGGAGCTGTCATGAGAATCAAGTGGGAGCACATGAAAGAATGTGTTTTGTAAACTTTAGAACATTGATAGTAACTTTCTGTTTCTTCCCATCTTTAAAAACTTGGAACCATGTGCTCATGAAACATTTTTGGGATGGTTTAGCTAAATGTCACAGGCACCACTGCTGTGGCAAAACACTGGAGACTTGGGATGTCATTCTTGTCCCCCATTCCTCACAGATATGCCATATTGAAATCAACTGATGTTTTGAGCAATCAAATCACTTATCAAGAAATATGTCTGGGTCAATCTTCACCAGACCTTTTTGAAATGAGCCAGAGGTGTATTATATCTCTAAGGAGATAGAATAGGCTCACTGACATGGTAGTTGAGAGGATGACATTTGAACTAAGGTTGTCTTTAGTCAATAAAGGAGATGAATGTACATTCATCTACAGTTTTATTCAGATGCATGCATCTACAGACCATCACAGTTTTATTCGACACAAGACCTGCTCATGATAAAAAAAATTCTTTTCCCCTTGCACTAGTCATTTCCATAAAATACATTGTTTATAAAATTCTAGCTTAATTTTCATATTAAACACCTCCCCATGACCCCTAATAACTTGGCAAATTCTCAATGTCATGTTTAAAATCCAACAAAGGCTTTAAAAATCCCATAAGGTTATTGGGAGATTCCTGAACTAAGTAGATTTTAAATAAAGTAAATTATTAAGTTGATGCCAGGGATTTAGAACTATTCAAGAGTTTAAATTTCAAACAGAAATAACAAGAAAGAGAAATCAAAAGAATTACATTGAGCCAAGATGTAGGCAGACTAATAGGGCCTGCAAATGGGAAGTTGCTCCCAGGAAGAAAAACAACTCTAAAACGACAAAATTAGGGGATCATCAAGGGAATGGATATGTCACTTATCAGTATGAATCAGTGTAAGTAAAATTTTCATTTGCACAAAATAGTCATATCAAGATTCCTGCAAGACTGTGAGGAGCCCGAGACCACCATATAAAAATGGGGAATAAAGATGACAGACACCTCTTGGGGATACAATGGAAACATTTTCTGCTTTATATGGGAGTAGAGATAAATAGTTTTATTAATTCTAGTTTGAGGCCAAGTATGAATAACATAATTCTCTGAATTCATAGGGAATAGAAGGGTATAACTGAAGCTCATATTTCTCTTGTGATTTTATTTACTTATCCATGTGAGGGTTATAATTCTATAAATTAAAAACAGTATCTTGCTAAATTATATTAGTTTACCTAAAATATTTTCAGGACTTTTTTTTTTCCTCCTTACTATCCATTAGAAAAAGTGTCTGAGACAAAAATCTTCAAATTTCATTTATTCAATGAATGTTTATTGTGCACCTACCAAGTAGCAAACAGAGTCCCCAGTTAACAGACTCCTATGTTAATTCCTTGGTATTTTATTCAGATGCATGCTAGTGACTTATTAACTTGCACATATTTATTTGTTCATATGTTTATCTTCTCTAGTAGGTTACAAACAACCTAAGATTGGATATCTGACAGATAAAGCTTTGAAATCACAATAGAAAAAACATTAAATAAAGTTGTTTGGTTTGTAAAAAAATTTTTTTTCAGAATCCTAATGCTCATAAAAAGATTTGATTCTGAAAGCTAGACTTAGGTAAAAATTTTAATAACATATCTATCATTGCAGCTTGACAGACTGGGGTTCTCCATGATCTAATGAGGAAGGCCGCAGCATATGGAACATGATATTTGTCTGAAGTAAATCCACAAGGGTTGAGGATGGAGTAGAAAATAAGAACTTGACCCACTTTGGCCTAGAAAAGTCAACAGAATAAAACAGGTGGCTACACCCAAACTGAACTTGACGATTTTTAGTGTTCCATTTACTAAGAGTACATTAGAATTCTTTTTTTAAAGAAATAAATTCGTTTTGAGGTTCTAATTTGACTTATATTTTGATATAAGATATTTAATGGCTTATATTTAGATATAAGAAATTTAATATCTTATATTTAGATATTCAGAACCTTTCACATATGTCATAATCTATAACAAAACAAAATAACAACAAAAGCAAAAGGTCAGGGAAAGGAGTTCACTGTCCAGAAAAAAATCCCCCCAAAATAGTTAATCCTAAGAATTCATAATTTTGCAACCAAGGAAGCCAAATATGCATCCTAGAAAGCATCCTCCCTATTGGTCTCCCTGTAATGGGCCACATAATAAGGAAAACTGGAAACATGCCACTCTCTGACTACAGACCATCACAGTTTTATTCGACACAAGACCTCAAATAATGTGACCGAGAACTTCTAGCTGGTCACATCTAAGTTGAAATTCTGACAATCCTTACTGAGAGTGAGCAGGGAGGTGAAGATTATTCCAAAGAAGGGGGAGTAAGTAAAATCAACAGCATACCAAATGTTTTAGTAGTTATGGCAAACTCTACAGAGACCAATTCTAAAGCATTTGGAATGAATTAAGAAATAAGGAGAAAATGATTCAGTAATATCACTCAAAACAGAAGGATTTTTGTCAGGTGGGCCAGTGAGTCCTTGCTCCTGACAGAAAAAAGCATAATGAGAATAGGCAGCCTAAATAACTTTTAAAAAAATAAAAATAAAATGAACCAAATTGTTCAAATACGAGAGAGCTGGACTTCTTTGAGTCACTGATGATTCAAGCCAGTTCTGGCCTCCTCTTAAGAAGGTATAAGAAGGACTGATGGCAATTACATTGCTGAAGAAAAAAATTATAGACTACTGGACTGAAAAAGAACAACAACAACCAGTTATGAGTCAAATCAGCAAGATCACAGAGAACCATTTAAATGACCAAAAGAGAAAGAATGCACACAACTCAGGCGTATTCCTAACCTGATAGAAGTCAGAGAAAATGCATGCCTTCCTTAAACACAGTTGTCAGTAAGAATCTCTCTTCATATAAGACACTGAATGATATGAAGGGAATGAAAAAGTCGTTCTTCAAACATTGTAAACGTGTGCGTGTAATGTACTAGATGTTTTCACGAACGTATGTTCCATGAGGAGTGAAAAGATGGATATGGAGTTGGTCCTTAAAACGACAAAGTACCCAAGGGCCCTGGCTTGTGTGGCTCAGTGGATTGAGTGCTGGCCTGTAAACCAAAGGGTCACTGGTTCTACTCCTAGTCAGGGCACACACCTGGGTTGCATGCACGCTGGGTCCCCAGTTTGGGGCATGCGAAAAGCAACCACACAGCAATGTTTCTCTCCCTCTTGTCCCCTCTCTCTAAAAATAAATAAATAAAATCTTCTTTAAAATGTTTAAAAATACAAAGTTCTCAAGGGCTGGGGCATGTATGCACAAGCAGAACGCATTAGGCATCCATTACAGTGACCTGTGAGATCAGAATCAGCTCATCCATTCCTGCCTACTCCATGCATAGTATCTACTAAAGCTCCTCAAATCGTTATAAGCTAAATAATAAATATAAGGCAACAAGAAACAATCGAAATGTGTTTTCCTAGCACAGAAAATGGCAGTTTTGTGTGACTGAATTTTTCAGGTGCTTCACACAGGGTCCACTAATGTCCTTGAAACCGAAGTCCTGGTTATAGTGGGCAGTATTTTTTTTGTACAAATCAGGAGCGGAAAAACATGAGTATGCAACCAAATCACTGCAACTAAAAAAAGAAAGCCACAGAGTAATTTTGGTGACATTGTACTTGTTCTGGGGGTTGCCATGGAAATGTGGGAGCTAAGCTACTTCACTTTCCATATTTACCAAGTGACTCCTGCTCACTCTAATGACAACCCCACCACACACAAGAGGCAGGGTCTCTGTTTACCACAGAACCCAGAGGCAAGGCCAGGAACGCACACACGGAGCCAAGCCAAATTCACACGTCTCGGCAGGCCTGAACATGTCTAGCCCACTGAATACACAGAGCTGAAGTATAAATATGAAACAAAGACCTTTGATGTCACTTTGGGGGAGGTTTCCCACCGTGCATGGACATGTGTCTGTCAGAACAGGCTAGCATCTCATCTTTCTTTCCACAGTGCCTGAGACTAGCTGTCAAAGAAGAGGGAGGCTGGCTGTCCCTTAACAACAGCTCATGATGTCTCACAGAGCCCAAAGGGAGGAACTCGCTCCACAAGATCAAACAGGGAGAAAGGGGAGTTGCCAGAC